GATTTTTATAAAATGTTTTTGTATTTTTCATTGTATCTCACTCAATTTTATAGTTTTTTCAAAATTTAAAAAAAGGAGATTCAGAAAACATCTTTGCGCTTGCAATACTTGAAGAAATTTAGAAATTGAGTCAAAATTGAATGTTTGACACATTTCTAAAGTCAAAACAGTAGGAAACGAAATAAGTCCGACTTTTAAATTAAAATCATCATAACATTTTATGTTTTGCAGCAATTTCAATTGTAAAATTTTTGTTGGATGCGCAATGCATTTCTACAAATTTACAATTTTTTTGGCTGAAATAACTTGAAAATTAAGCAAGTTATGATTAAAAATAGGAAACGATTTTAGAAAAAAAATGTGCCAGGGGGTGGGATTGAACCCAGACCTCTGTCTCAGATCCACTGCACCATGCGTTTTTTTTTTGGGGCCAGGGAAAACCTGATGGAAATGACTGCGTACTTTTGCGTACGCCAGTGGGAGGGAGAAAATCCTATGATGAAAGTATGTAGGAAGGGAGGGACAGGCATGAGGGGAAGTTAGTAACTTTATTAGTATAGAAGATGACTGCGTACTTTTGCGTACGCCAGTGGGAGGGAGAAAATCCTATGATGAAAGTATGTAGGAAGGGAGGGACAGGCATGAGGGGAAGTTAGTAACTTTATTAGTATAGAAGATGAAAGTATGTAGGAAGGGAGGGACAGGCATGAGGGGAAGTTAGTAACTTTATTAGTATAGAAGATAGATAGATAGATGCATCCTAACCATTGAATACATTCATTTAGTTTGAGTCAAAGCACTTTAAGTTTCAAAGAAATATGCATGTTTTGTACACGAGAAATTTTCCTGAAAATACTGCTGAGTCATCAGGATTTAAGAATGTTTCACTTATGCATGCATTTTTCAGGGCATATATGCATGCATACTTTAAGAGTTTAAGTGCTTTATGCTTCACACAGTTATGCTCATGAGGATAAAATTAAGTTTAAATAAGATAAATGCGTCTTTTTAAACATAAGTATTCCTGGAATCACACACAATTCCTGTGCAAGAATCACTATAGAAGAAGAATGGAAAATACCAAAAATGCTGGACAGGTCATGAAGACCCTGAAGTTCAACATTCAAAGTACTTTAAACTTTTGCTGCCCATGCTTCAAAAATGCCATTCAGCTGCTGCTTGCAGAATCATTAAAATTTCTTAAACATGAATCAAACTCACTCAAGTTAAATCAAGCTGACCTAGCTTATAATAACAAAAAATTAAATATCAACCTGAAAAAAAATTCAAGCGACACCTACTTCAAATTGCATAAAATATTGGACCTGAGACAAATAATTATTAATCTTGGACATGAAACAGCTATTACAGTAGTAATTACAGTATTATAAAATAATTACAATAGTACTTTAAAAAATTCTTAATTTTGATTTTCTCTGCAACATAAGCATTCAGTATCCTGCTGAATTTTGCTGCAATAAAATATCAAAATATTCACCCAGCAAAGAATCTGCATTAATTTTTAGAAACTTTTCACTCAGTTTTAATTTTAATGGATAAAATTATTTCTCTTCCAGCTTATTCCAGATGTTTTTCCAGTCGGTATTCCAGCACCCGGAATGGGAAACATTCCATCATCTCTAGAACCCACAGATGAAGACAGCCAATCCCTCACCACCGACGAAATCACTCTCAGCAAACTTTCAAAGGATCCCTGTGTTTCAGGTGCAGCATTTGATTTAGCAAACAGTGATTTAACCGAGGAACACAGACACTTATCACGTGAGCTCACACCAAAGAACAGAGACGCTGTTTCATCATTACTTCAAAGCAAACCTGAAAATATTCACGAATCGACGTCGCACCTTAATGTCAATGACGGTGACGACCAAGTGTCATCTGATAGTGAAAACATTGTGCATCTACCGGAAGGGTGAGAGAATCAGACTAAGTTCTTATTATGTTTTATTCTTTTTAAACTTATTTGTAGTAGTTTTCTGTGGTTTGAATGAACCAAAGTAGTTCTCAAACTGCGTATAGATGTCAAACAAAATTTTCAACCTTGCATTTAACCGTATGGCCGATTAACAATAATCCACATGAAACAAATACAGTATCTGCAAAAAGTTCGACAAAATGATTACGTTTACCAGGTTGGAAGAACGTAAACTTGATAAAAACCACACAAATCCGTATTTTCTTTCGGCATTTCGTTGTGTATATGTGATTGATGCTGGTTCTGAAATATGAAATATATAATGCAATTTCTAAATTGTGATAACGAGTTTAAATGTCTATCCCAGTGTAATTTTGTAAATTTGACCCAGCTTCCAAATTCCTTGCTGATGACAGATGCCGGAGACTCGGTAATGTATAAAAAGTTTTTGGCTGAATGTTATTTTCCTTTTTGGGTATTTTGCGAAAACGCTGCTTTTTGCAAGTCATTTGTTTTAATATGGTGGTGAAGTGAAAAATTGTATCACTGTGATTCAATTTGTTGCAAATTACTTCTGCTTGGCATTGCGGTAACAGGTTAATAAAAAAAGAATTCAAGTCATTATGTCAGTTAACCACTGTAAACAACAATTAAATTCAAGCAGTCATCCGCAAAAAACGGAAAGTAAACATTTTTACTGCGTAGCAAATAAATGTAAATCTTACAAAAACCATACATTTCTGACTTTGTTGTGATTTCGTTGTTCGTATACGTATGTGATTGCTGCTATAGTTCTGAAATATAGAATGATGCGATTTCTGAAATTCAATTGATATTTATTGGCAATTCTGTATTTTAAAAATGTAGATCAACATCCAAGTACCACACTGAGTACATACACAGTACAGATATCTGAGACAAGCGGCAATGTACAACAATAATTTGAAAATTTGAGATAATATTTCTCCTTTCTGTTCGAAACTGGACAAAAATTCTACTTCATGCACAGAATTCCGGTTCAATACATAAGGGAATGAAACTGTAATTTCAGCATGCTGCCTTAATTTTTTCTCCAATGATTTTTTTATTCTCTTGAAATCTGGGAATGAAACTGTATTTTTAGCATGCCTTAATTTTTGCTCCATTGATTTTTTATTCTCTTTGCAAATCTCTTTAAAACTGTCCGGTTTCACGAAGCGAGAGCCACAAACCTTTAGTAAAGGGGCTGGACCCTTTGCACTACTATTCCTAGTGGACTGCCTGACCGGAAGTCAGTGTCACGTGGACATGATGGAGTGCAGACCAACGCAACCCGGCGGGTTGCTCATCACCAGCACCGGAGGCAAGGACGTGCAATACGTCTGTCGGGTTCATCCCCAAGCGCCGTTTTCTTTCCTGGTCCAGGAAATCCGAACCCGTGAGGGGTTCTCATCAGTAGCACAGAAAATTGACTCAAGCGCAGGAGACAATGTGAACACAGGTGAGACCCTAAGGCACCTATAAAAACGGTTCGACCTAACGCCGAACTAGTTCTAATTACTCAGCACCTGTAAGCTCTCCAAGTTCACGCCCTTTCTGCTAAACGTCGACCAAAAGTTGCACAAAACTGATCCGGGGGAATTTTAAATTTGTAACTGTTCTGCTGAATTCTTCAAGTTCAAGGCACATGGACACACACTAATTGCCGGCAAACTTTTTTTTCAAACCCCCAAAAAAAATTCCTTAAGAAATATTCACTTGATGTGAAAAATGCGCGAAATGACGCTGTGTGTCTCCAGAAAAAAACTCTGTTTGTCAATAAACCCTACTATTGTTTTCAGAAATAATTTTGAACCAAAGTCCTACTTTGAAAAATAAGTTATAACCAAACACAAAATGTCTTTCTCTTTGAATCACGTATTAATGGAATTCACTTTAAAGAGTCCCCATTCATAATCTCTGCACTAAATGCTGCATGAATGATTTTTCCTCTTGGCATTGAAATCCCTGAACACCTTAGAGATTTTTTGAAATAACAGCTTTCATCTGCACAAGAAAATGAAAACTTCTAAAGACTTCCAACTTTAAGTCTTTATGTTACCCTTAATGAATCCGACAGCAATAAGCACCCAATGAATTTATGCCAGGAAATAAATATTTCTAAAAATAAAAAAATAAGCAGCTGGTGTTGAATCTTGGGACAACATATTCACTGAAAGATTAGATTACCCGTGCTGGTATACACGATTTTTGGCAGTGGTATTCAAGTCAAAATTGTAAGTTAAAAATGAGAAAAAACATAATGGCGTCATGCGCATGCAGGCCATAATTGTTTGCGAAATGAGAAATAAATAACTCCCCCCAACTAATATATCTTATTTTGTACCCTCACGCTGCAAATAAATATTTCCATTTGAGACTCGACGCTCAAGTGAGAAAATGACCTTCAACTTAGTAATGTGCAGGAAGGATATAATTGAATTGTCAATCGAGGACATTTAGAAGAGCATCGACTCGGTCTTCAATTATGCAATAAAATCGATAGGTGCCATATACGAAGTCTTCCTGGCCAATATTTGCCTATATACAGTATATAGTGAGGAACTGTAGTGAAATCACTTCACTGGTGTGTTAAATGGTGCTTTGAGACTCTACATCCGAAACTCGACATTAACGACTTTCGGAAATCATTTATTTCCGATCGTTATTCAATACAAATTCCGGTAATGACCTCAGACTCACCTTATATATGAAGGACTAAAAGAATTGGATCAAGGACTCACCTTGTTAACTCGCATCTTTCCACTTGCGAAGTGCAATTTTTTCGAATCATCCTTGCTCCATTATCATTGATTTCACGCTTGGAGAAACAAGAAAACAAGTACGGCTGTATAACAATGCTTAAAAGGTGTAATTACTACCTAAATATGAATGGTTTTGACAATTTCAGCGTTTGCGCACGGACATTTCCGGTTAAATCATACACAAAAAATAAATTGAACCGTTTGATTTACAAAACTCGTTATGCACAGTATATTCCGCTCGTCGATGAAATTGAGATGAAAATTGTATTGATTGGATTAATGCCAACATCATTCATTGGCGAGTGAAAAAAATCCCAAGTCACCGACATTTAAATGAAAAGAAAAAATAGCGTTGAAAAGCTACCGTATTTCATGATCACTGCGAGGAATTGAGGTTCTTATACTTGCATGATTTTTGAATTTTCAGGCAGTCCACGGCCTGAAAAATTAATATCCTTTGAAAATCTTTTTCTCGGCTCCGATTATCACAATTAATTGAAAAAGTTTTATAATTTTTTAGTGCGTAATTTTGAATATGGGAATAATTCATAAAATACTTTGAAAATCTTTCTAGTGATGATTTCTCATCTCTGATTATCACCATGCTTATTTCAAAAACGTGCCATAATATTCGAGATTTTTGTGCAATGATTCTGAATAAGAAAGTTCCTCAGACATGTAAATTATTAAGGGAGAAATTGCCCAGTTTTCACGGATGCTGTTCAAAAAATTTAAAAAATAAATCCCGGAGAAAAAACGTGTGCGATACTCAGCTCTCTTTTCTGCCAACCATTCATTTCCAAGAAATGGCACACTTGACCTCAATGCGCGACAAAATTAAAAGCTGCATATTTTTGCGGTCCCCATGTACAAGTTCCTCGGAACGATTCGGCTCTGACCTCGTGAAACTGGGCCGAGAGCTCGAATAATGCCTAAAAAACAGAGAGACAAAAAATAGAGAAAAATATAACCCTTGCAGCAATAAGCACCCCGAGATTCACGCGACCGCAGGTGGGTTCCCCCCGCGAGCAGCAGCAGGTTTTGTACAGGTCGCTGAAAGAGCAGCTCATGGGCTGCTTTGCCCGAATGTACAGTAGTACAGTACCCGACACCTGTGCTGGGGGGGTTCGCCATGGGCAACGAGAACATGAAGCGCGGCTCTTTTCATATCGATCAAACCGGGATTCCGGTCGATTGCGAACGTCGTTAACGCGATTCTGTCGCAGAACGACCAAGAAGAAGGACACGCGAAAACCTCGATTCGGGTGCTGCCGGGGTTCGCCACGACTTTTTTTTTTAATTATATTTTTCTGTGTCTTCTTTCAATTTCCCTGCACTCGTTTCTTTTTGTTTTTTTAAACTTGAAAACATTTTCATCTCGACGTCTTCCCAATGAGTGCATTTTAACCGGTTTTCTTGAAAGTTGATCAGAAGGATTCGTATGAAAATAAATTCAGAAGCTCTTCCCTTAAGAGCGAGCCGCAGTATTTTCAATTTGGTGATGGGACAATATGTCAGAAACAAAAAACGACATTTGCGGCGTTTCTTTAAGACAAATGTAAGCTGAATGCCTATAATTTTTGCGGTAGAATTGGCGTCATTCCATGTGCAATATTCGCGATGTGAGGTGGAATTAATTCGTATTATTTGACTTTAGAAGAACCGCAAGTTTCTTTGTGGCCCATATTAAACTTTTATTTATTCGAGTGATTTTTCTTCGGTTGCAAATTTTGAAATGCGCCCATTTTTTATTTTTGAAGTGTACAGTTTTTCGGCGGCAAACGGGAAAATCCTGTCCTCAAGGAATATTTTCACAATTTTTCGTCGTTTATTTGACAAAAACTTCAAGACGTGTTGACTGATTTTAACAGAGCTTCGGCAAAAGTTGGCTGAATCTCGTTCTGCGGAAAAAATGGGGCATAAAATCTGGCGTCATGTCTATTCGGGTGTAATATACATTACACATTTTTTGAATTTTAGCTTTTAAAATTCCTTCAAAATCATAATTTTTTACAAGGTGTAATTGATTTGAACGAAGCAAGATCGAATTCGAAGTCATGTTCTGGTTCACGATTTTCATGCAAATTAAAATTTTTAGAAAGTCACAACTGCCGTCTACTGTGACGAAAACAGGAAAGACTCTCTTCTATTTCCTTGAATGATTTATTAAATGAGTCTAAATATTTTCCTCTCGCAGACAAGTGATGTTCACGAGAAAACAACTGACCCATTCATTAATTGCCTTCCGTATAATCAGCTATAGCTGATAAAAATGGCAACCGGGGTATCTTCGCCGCTATTCGTGAAAGTCAGTTTGCCCCCAGGATTGGAAGACTGTCTGGAGGATTTCACTCTGGAAGTTTTGCGGAAAAAGCCGGTGAATCTCAGAATTTTCGCCCAACAACACTTCGAAAGGAAGGTCCGAGAAAATGGTGGTGAGTCCATATGCCGACTTCATACTGTGCTCGTATATATACGACATGCATTAACGAACTGAACCGGCTGCTTATTTAAATAAATGTATTGCTAGTCGAGCTTTGTATATACTGATCACCGTGTGAAAGGAAAGGGCGTATGTCGGGGAAACGGCGGGTTTCTCAAGATTTATGACGAATCGCGAAGAACGCGTTATATTAGCCGTACTCGTGTACCTATCTGACCATCAGTCAGTATTTTATTCTTATTCATTCATGCAATTTTATTTTTTTAACCTGGTTTTTTTCTAGAAGGAATAAAAGCCCGACCAGAAATCATGCTGGTGAGGCTTTTTTGCACGAAATTTCGACTCCATTCGACCGGAAAAATTCCTGATACTTCATTTCTTTTACTCAAAGATTCCAATGATGATGGCGTGATTATTAGGAGAATGGTAGGCCCCCAAGTTTTTCAAACTTTTTTTTACTCGTAAAGTATAATTTGTGTGGCGAAGTTTTTGAGTCAGAGTCCTCCAAACTGCTCTTTCATAAAAACAAAAACTGTTCTAATTTTTTTTTCTGCTGAAAGCCTTTTTCGAGGAATTGCGTTAATATTTTTCTTACCTATTTATAACTGACACCTTATCAAGAGACATACGCATTTTTAAACACAAACGATTTTGAGAGCATAGAATTTAATCATTAGGTTGGGATATAGGTCTGTGAGGCGTGAAAAATTTTCAATAAGATATTTTTGGATTATTCAAAATATTTGGTTGAACCTGAACTTCCAAAAAGACACGAGGCATTCAAGTATTTCATGTAAAACGCATTTATTGCTTCGTTTCAAAGACTGAATGTAATCTTGCTTCAAAAAATATTTTTACGCTATAATTTCAACCATAGCGCGCAAATATTAAAATAATACTGACCTCAACGAAAAAAATGTTGTAAAAAAACAATCTAACCCATTTTAATAAATCGTGTAAAATGTCTCAAACCACGCGAACACAAAAACTTTCGTGTAAACCCCCTGATAAACGATTACTGGGTGCTATATAAAGATTTTCGTTTAGCTGCCTGCGGAAAATAAAAATTCTGTCATCGTGAAATCCTCGTATATAGTGAGTTTCATTCGTTCCCTTTTTTCGAAGTCCTTAAATTACTGGGATGAAAACAAAACAAAAAATCAAAACGAGAAATACTTTCGGACGGAAGTCAGCAATCATCGGGATTTTTTGGGCGGAAAATTTCAGCTGGGCAAATCTGTCTGTCTGTTAACCCTGTTATCACGAAGTCATCAGACGACCTTGTCTTCGGTCACAAAACCCAGCCAGACTCGACTTCGAGGCGGAGGACAGACAGACGCGTCGAATTCTGTGTATGCACACACGTCAAAAAAATGCGACGGACAAAGAATAAGGGGGTCATCCACAAGTTCAGCTCAAATTTTCTCTTCGAAAAAAAAAAAGAATAATGAGGACCAAGCTATCTCAGAATTTAAATATTCGAACCCATTCAATCCATATTTTTTCTCTCCATTTTTGAAATCCGCTTCAAATGACGTGGCATGAGTCGTTTGATTGATGATAATTCCGCGGATATAGTAGATTTTGAAAAATAGCTATTTTTTAAAGTTTTCATCTATCACTCTGGCAAAGCTTTTACGGTATTGCTGATTTTATGCAAGATTTTTAAGGGACTTTGAAAACATCGCCATACATTTAAAAAAATGTATTTGTAGTTGTGCTTGTGAGCAGGAATAATGGAAGGTGTGCTGAAGTCGATACAGAAAAAAAGAACAATTTGAAGAAATACTTTGTCTTGAATGAACTTTTTTCGCAACCTCCATTCCACTGAGAGAACTTTCATGGATATTCGTGGCCAAATCAACTGCGTTCTCATTGCAGGACGAAGCAAGATTTCTGAAAAACTTTGAATCACGAATATACAACAAATAAAATTAAGAAAAACACGCAAAATTTTCTCAATGCTCTAAAAAATAATAATGTACCAAAGCCGATGGGACATACATTTATATGCGATGTGCTCAAAGGTGCATTTAAAATTTTCATTTGAATACTGTATTTGATATACTGTACGTTGAAAAATCGTTCGTAGTGGTTTGCGAATATTTTGCCCAAGTGAAGCACTTTCTCCCCAGAGAAATGAATTCCGCGGAAAATTATTTTTTTAAAATCGCATTTACCTTTTGCTGAGGAGACGTTTGTTTCTTTTCCTTTGCAAATTTCGTTGGGTGAAAAGATAAAACAATGGTGATTGCGCATATATTCGGAATAATGTGGAGAACTTCATTGCGGCTCAATCGCATACATACTGTACTCGTATATATATATATATATATATATGTTTTTTTTTTTTTTTTTTTTTTTTTTTTTTTTTTTAGTCTTAGAGAGTTTACATTCTTTAGATTAATTGACTCTGTAGAAAAGACGTTTTCTCCAGATCAAGAGTGTCTTAAGATAAAATTCTTACGAAAATTAGGACAACAATATATATATGTTTTTTTTTTTTTTACCCTGCTTCCTTCATTCATCCACTCTTCATCCAACCCTCGAAACTTGGAAGAAATGGAAATAGCCCCCTTTCCAGTCGTCGTTCATCTCTCATTCGGATAACACGCTGCAATCTTTTATTTCTTCGGCTGTCGGAGGATGGAATAATTATTCCCAGACAAAAGTAAACACGCAGTCATAAAGCGGAACTCAAGAGTGCTTCAAATTTTACCATTATTTTTCTTTCCTGGGTGCAGCTTTGCAGGTGCTGAATACAAGTCTTCAGGATGAGAGGGACAGAAAAAAAAAGTGTTGATCCTTGAAAAATGCCAGGCCCATATTTTCGATGAATCAGCAGCAATCGTGTTTTATTCCCCACCCAGACGTGAGTCTTTTGTCTGGGATGACACATTGTTGATGCTCAGATTGGAAACAAATGAATAAGGGAGAAAAACAAATTCCGACGCAGAAAAAAAACAACAGTTGCAGCATTTTATGTTCCATAACCTTTTTTCGTAAATTGCCCTCGCATCGAAAAATGAGCTTTTCGTACTGTGATCAAATTCAAGATTAACTCAAATGTGTCATGTTACTATTGCATATAATTCCCTCAAATTCTGCCGAGGAAAAAGAAAATGATATAGGTTGAAAAAAAATTAAAAATAGACAAAAGATGCGTGGGAAGTTTCCGAATTCATGACTCAGACAATTTATAGCGCTTTAAATGTCATGAAAATCTTGTCGAAAATTTTATTTATTTTCTGCTCGACCATTTCTCTACAAATAGGATTCGACGTTTACAAAGCTGAGTCTATATAGTTATGATGTCCGTGAAGCATACAAAAATGTCAACTCAATGACGCAAAAAAAAAAAAAACTCTCATCAAAGTTTGGTAAAAAAAAAAAAAGAAACTCGTGCCCTTATCCGAGAATCGATGAGCACGACGTGGAGAAATGCCACCGGAAAAGAACTTTATTTAATAGTTTACCTGTTTCCCGGGGGGCAAAAAGACAACATATTTTCTAACTTCGGGGTTCCGAGAAGATTCTTATACAACTCCTGTTTTTAAAAAACACCCACCTGCATATAGTTGTTTAACGCAACCTCGAATGACCTAAAATGTTTTCGTATAAATATTCTTCAAAAATTTTCTGAATCTCAAGACGACTAAACGAGGCTTTTCTTTTGGAATAAAAAAATTCGATCATATTGATGAGATTCGATCAGTAGCTCATCAAGCTGATGGCGGAAAAATTGCACTTGATCAACTTGATTTTTTTTCCATTTTGAAATTTGGGATCCGGTTTTTGAGAATTTTTTCTTCTTATTGCCTCGATGGCTCCGGATCATTTTTACGTCCCTTGTTTTAAATGACTGAATTACTCATCAGAGTTGAATGGTCATTATCGAAAACCGGTTCTTAAATGAAGACAAAAATCCTTGAACTGCGGCGCAGATGCTGGTACTGTCCTGTACTTTATGAATGGCGACACCAGGTCTCAACCCAGGTTGAGGTCAATTCCTTTCTTGTCCAATTCGTAACTGTCAGAAATACTGAACACCGTGGGTTCTCTCAAATGTTTGAAAGCTTTCGCAGTTTCGGAAATGAGGCGTACTTCGCTGATCAACGATTTCCTATAAATAAAAAAGTATGAATTAAAAAAGTATGGCAAAATCACCGTTTTCAGAGAGGAATCGAAGCAAGGCCTCATTCAATCGGAGAAGGGTCAGGCATTTAATCAACAATTCCTGCTTCTTCAGAACGTACTATTTATATTTTCCTCATATTAAGTCGTGAAGTATTGACCCAGTACGTGTCTCAGTGAAAGTCGAATAACCTAAAATTTCGAGTTTAGCTTTTAATTAGCATAAGCTTTTTCATTTTTTTTAACTAGCGTGTATCGAATGCAAAATGGAAATTATTTACCAGGTACAGACGACCAAAATTTGTTTTCCGAGCAATTTCCCTGTTATATTCACGTATACTGTATCGCCTCTTCTGAAAGAAGCCCAATAAAGCAAGGGTTTCTGGTACATATCTGCTAATCTGCACGTTTGCAGAAGGAAAAAAAGTAACGAAATTATTTCAATAATTAATGTTTGAAATGAAGTTTACCCTCATATGAGGAAAGCAAGCAAAAAAGCATGGACACCTCATATATGCCAGTCATTCAAAATAATTGCGGGCTTTATCTATTTTAAAGAACTATGGCAAACCTTACACAGTTGTTTAAGATAATAAGGATTGAGTAAACGAAAAAACTTTTAAATTAACGTGAGAATTCATTTTAAAAGTAAAGCTCCGCGTAGAGTCAAAATTGGTATCAATTAGGTATTCAATGCCTCTTCGCTCTACGATAATGACATATATCTCTCCTAATCTTATACAGTGGCCCCCCGCATAGCAGACCAGCTTTGCACGCAGTATTTCCTCCCGCCCAACAGACAAAATCCGCCAAATAGACTTCTGTTGGTTTAAAATTAGTTTTGACAATTAAAATTTTTAATTTTTTCTAAAATTGAATTCGGCTTCAAAACTACGTCTACAAATCCAAAAGACTTGTCCGTTGCTAAAATTAAGTCCTTTAGACAGGGGTTGAATGTATTTTGTCTACCTAGAACTCATGAAATTTGCTGCAGAGGCAGGCTCTACTTTTCAGGAATGTTTCTTTGTGAAGTTTCACTTATTACCCAAAACCATCGAGATGTAAAAAATAAAAAATAAAACGAAACGCTTGCGCAATATAGTTCTTCCCAACTGCTGTGCTAATAAGAAGAAACTCCGCACTTACCGGTTAAAGTTTGTTTACTGAAGCCTTCTGAGACGCAGGCTTTCTTTTTTTTTCTCGGATGTATTTCCTCTCTCTCTCTCTCGTCGTCTTTTATTTTATTTTATGTAATTTGAGAATTGTTCTTCCGTTTCC